AGAGACTGCCTCAAAAGAGTGGTTGATGCCTCAGGATACTTCTTATCAGTGAAATCTGGGGGTTAAAAAATGCAAAAAATTTGAATACTCTTATAGGCTTCTAAATTGAAAACTCATAAACGGGCAACCGGGGCAACCACCAAGAGCAGGATGAATTTTAATAATTTCGGTGCAATGTCTAAAATTAGTTATGATAATCTCTAAAGAATAAAATGCAGATACCTTACAAGTAGTGGTCCAATAAAAGTATTATTTCATATTTGTTATCTTGTACAAAATCTAAATATAATTTTGATATAAGTATTCCACTTGTGGCAAAATATTTTCTTCATTAACTGTCTAATATTAAAGTTTCTTCCCTCAAGTGCTATGCAGAACAACAGTAAGATGTAGCTACTGTGTAGGTTAAGTCAGTAATAAAGACGGGCTCCCTTTTGATGGTTATTAATTGGTTACAAAGTGACAATGCAAACTTTCAGATTGAAATTTAAAGAAAAAAAATCAATGTCTAACCCAAATAAAAAAGCTTTACATGTTGATGTACCATTTATCTTTTCAAATATAAATCCCTTATTACAGTACATAAGCCTGCAGTATCTTCATTTAAAAGGTAAAACACAAACTTATTTAACAAATTACCTACCTGTTATGGCAATAATTCAGATGGGATTCAAACGCTCTTTCTCTACCGATGTTCCACATGTGCGTTGCTTTTCTTCCCTATCATGGATCCTTTTCTAAGTAAACCATGGCCAATGTCAATCTATTGGAAGATAGATAATTATTTACTATTTATTAGAAACTTTCCTCCCACATTTGCACATGCTATTAGTATCTGACTGTCAATGGACATGCTTGGAAAATATTCACACCCCAGTTAATTATACCATATTTTTTGGTCAACAAAAATATAATTATGCTTGAAATATTTCAACCTTTAATTATAGCATAATTGAAAACTTCCTACATGTAGAATATGAGTATATTAAAAAGTTCCAGCTATTGATGTTTTTGGCCATGACTTGTGTGGGTGTCGAATTTAAAATACCAATTATTATATAATTGAGGTCAGACAGTTGACAGAAATTCTGAGGTAATTGAACAGAAAGACAATGTTTCCGCTGATAGTTAAAATGAACAAAGGAAGAACGGATCTTTAAGTTCACATCTCCAGAGATGGCGGATTAATACACAATAAGAGATTGAATATCTCAGACTACTATTCATTCACAAACAAAAATGTTGCCGCATATTTGATGGTTAATAATTTTTCAGTAAAATGTCTGTGTATTATGTATTTAAATTACAGTATACGTTGAGGTAATAGTCTCTAAGAACAAACTTTCAATTGGATTGATTTCAAAATCAAATTAAGTTAGACCTCCTAAGTCTACAAGTTTGAATTTAGTGAAAATCTAAACCAGAAATATACCTGTATTCTGCCCCAATGTCTTACCATTATTGACATATATTGAGTTCATATTAATGATAAAATGATACTCCTGGGCGGATGCATAGGGTACGATGGTTGTTGATGGCCGGATCCCCCCCCCACCCACCATCCTTAACATATTAGAGTGCTTTTTTGCTGTACAAATATTGGTTAAATAGTCGACAGCTTTTTTTTCTTCTTTTTTTTTGTGGGTGGGGCCTCATTTATGAGAATATTTTCCAGGCTAATATTTTTAAGTCAATCAAAAATGGGAGGGTGACAAGGCAGAAGACGGTTCCCCATTAAAACTTATGTTATTTATACAGGAGTTCCCTTCCTGTAAAAATAATAACGATAATAATAATAATAATAATAATAATAAATAA